CTTGGCGGTCTACCCGCTCTTCTCCTGTTCTCAGTTCCAGTTATGAGGCTGAGATCTACGCAGGGGCCATGGTTGCACAGGAGCTACGCTGGCTCACCTACCTGCTGACCGACTTGGGAGAGGTGCCTCGTTCTCCTCCAGTTCTGTACGTCGACAACAAGGCCATGCTTGCCTTGTGTCAGGAGCACAGACTGGAGCACAGAACGAAGCACATTGCTCTGCGCTACTTCCTTGCTCGAGAGTTGCAGCAGCGTGGTCAGCTTCGTCTTGCTTACGTGGCCTCTCGGGCCAACACTGCTGATGTTTTCACCAAGGCACTTCAGCCTTGTGATCATCAGCGTTTCTGTACTGTTCTAGGCCTTGTACCTACTGTGCCTCACTTGCTTACTTCTTGACTCTGCTTGTACTGTACTCTCTATACATATACTTGCATGCTTACACTTGCTAGGTTGTGTTCACTGTATTGTTTGTTCTCCTTTATATAACTCTGCATGTGAACTGGCCTTGTGGCCATTTGCTTGTGCTCAGACTGCGTGGTGACTTTGTGATCCACCCTGAGCTTGCTTTGTCTTTCTTGACTGGTCTTGTGGCCTCTTGTTCTCCCCCACTTAGCCTATGGGGGTGTGTCAAACTTATATGCTATTGTCTATGTAGGCTGTAGTGGGGTAGTTCATATAGGGTACAACACTTTCAGGTTTCCTACTTGTACCCACCTGCTTTCTAGTTCATTCATTCCTTCCTTTCATTCTGACAGAAGCTACTGGGGCGAAGGGGTCTCTCTCCGACGCTGCTGCTGCTGCCGCTGGCCACCGCCATAACCTCCCCTCTGAACAGCTCCACCCCGACTGCCACCACGCCACCCCGACTGCCACCACTCCCACTGCCGCCACTACCGCCACCACCGCCACTCCCACCGCTGCCACCACCGCCGCCACCAAAGCCCCCACCCTAGCCACCACTCCCACCGCTACCACCACCTCCACTACCTCCACCACCTCCACTGCCGCCCCCACTACCACCCCCGCTTCCACCTCCACTACTCCTGCCACCCTTTCCCTTGCTGCTGCGGCGCTTCCCACTAGCAGAAGCAGCCCCGACATCCTCAGTACCAAGGACATCAACAACAGCAGCAGAGGCGTAGGAGGGGGCAAGGGGGGAGGGGGAACACCCCTCAAAGAATGGCGTGCAAGGAGTGCCACGAGCGGCACCTACAGCGACTACACTATTCTTAGCTGCAAGGAGGTGCTGCTCGAGCAGGTCAACAGTGAGGTCAACAGTGAGGTCTGTGGGGTCAAGAGCGAGAGAGTGGTCCCTGACTGCGCGAAGAGAGTCAGGGAGGCAGGTGACTATGAAGTAGAGAGTGATGTACATCGGGGGGGGGGGGGGGGGGGGGGGTTCCTTTCAAGGAATTTTGCTCGGAGGGCAGCGCGTTAGCGAGTGTCGCTAGTGCGAAGGTGGGTAACGACGTCCTCTACTGTGGCAAAGGCGGACAGCTCGGGAAACAGGTAGGGCAGTAGAAGACGGCCTACAGCAGGAGGGGGCGGGGAGGAGTAACGAGCGACTACAGCGTCGTACAGTGCCTGTGCTGTCTTGTGCTGTCCGAGGTGAGCGCATTCGGCTAACGGCAGGTGGTTGCGAATGGCTAATCGAGCAGCAGCGTCACAGGTAAGCCACTGTGAGCGAGTCGCACTGTCAGCTGTGGCGGGAGGGGCGAGAGAGGCTCCAGACGTGTGGCCAAACAACGAAACGCTGTCTCTAGAGTCGCTCAGTAGGTACAGCTGTAAGTCGTCGAGCCACGTGTCGAACTGGATCGGGCGGCCCTCATGATCGAACGTGAGGACACTGAGAGAAGCCATAGCAGGCAGAGCAGGGTGGCGCGCTACCAGCAGAGCAGCACGCAGGCAGAGCAGAGCGGCGCAAGGCTAGGGTGGCCAGCAGCTGGGCGGGCAGGAGCCGGGCGGTGCAAGCAGCAGTGGGGGTCGGCAAACGGGCCGCAAGGGACAGCGAGCGGGCTGCAAGTGGCGGCGCGCAGGCTGCAAGAGGGGCGGCTCGTGGGCTGCAAGGGGCGGCAGGTGGGCCGCAGGGGCGGCAGGTGGGCCGCAGGGGGGCGGCGAGCGAGCTGCAGGGGCGGCGAGCTGGCCGCAGGCAGATGGCGAGCGGGCTGCAGGGGCGGCGGGCGGGCCGCAAGTAGGCGGCGTGCGGGCTGCAGGGGTGGCGGGCGGCCCGCAAGCAGGGGGGCGCGCGGGCTGCAGGGGCGGCGGGCGGGTCGCAAGCGGGCGGCGCGCGGGCTGCAGGGGCGGTGAGCGGGCCGCAGGCAAGCAGCGAGCGGACGGCAGGGGTGGCGCGTGGGGCTCCAGGGGCGGCGCGCAGGGCTGCAGAGGCAGCGTGCATGGCTGCAGGGGCGGCGCGTGGGGCTGCAGGGGCGGCGCGCGGGCTGCAAGGGCGGCGCGCGGGGCTGCATGGGCGGCGCGCGGGGTGTAGGGCGGCGCGCGGGCTGCAAAGGCGGCGCGCGGGGCTGCAGAGGCGGCGCGCGGGGCTGCAGGGGTAGTGCGCGGGCTGCAGAAGCGGCTTGCGGGCTGCTAAGAGCGGCGCGCTGTGCTGTAGGGCGGCGCGCTGTTAGGGCAGGGCAGTGATTGGGTCAGCTCTGTGGTGGGCCCTAAAAAAAACGGTCTTAGGGAAGGACCTGCTCTGAAACCATGTCAGAAGAATGAACAAGAATGAATGCATTGAACAGAAGTTGGGTACAAGTACTAACCCTAATTGGGTTGTACTCCTTATGGGCTACCCCACTATAGCCTACACTAAGTAAGCAATATAACATTTTGACAGTACACCATACAAGTAGTGTTTGAATTAGCGAAAATTAGACTGAATGTCCACGCCTACTCCACGAAATGAGCCTTTTCGTTTATAATGACGGCGTTTACAATCAAGTTACAAACATTACAGTATTAGTAGGAATATTTTTTTCGATATTACAAACGTCTAAAGCTGCATTAGTAAAATCAATATTTCATTATCTATTCAAGAAAACTACAAATGGGTCTAAATGAATTAAAAACGATTTTGATGCATCAATTGTGTTCATTATATAGGCTGGGAAATGTTTTTTATGGTACGCTTCAATGATTTGCCATTTATTTTGTGAATCCACATAAACGATAAAACTGATCATGTGATTTTTATATGTGTTTCTATATTTTTATGCAATTATATGGATATTTAATCGTATCGCATATGTGCATATAACGCTTTGCGTTTGTAAACGTTCGTCTACTCAACAATAATGCGCATTCTGGGGAGTATACGTGGATAGTCAGTTCAATTTCGCTGAGTCAAATCGTACTTGTACGGCGTACAGTTTTGTTGGAACGCAAAGTTACCAGCCAGAAATTCCAGATGCACTGTTCATTGCCATTCGGGCAATAATGTTGACCATCTAGGCATGATGGTTACCATGGTGGCGAAGAGAGGATACCTTTGTTACGATCTGGACACGTGGCTTACCTCGTGTGCAATCGAGCCCAATATGTGTTACTGCGGAGGTAAATGCCCAAAAGGGAATCAAATTGCTGCCTCCCGCAGCATCTGCGGATGGCGCCAAGAGCCGCAGATATTTCTCTGATTGGTGCAATTCGCATGTTACAGAAACCATCCACCTGTATGGTACAGCTGTACTGTATGCTTGTCAAATGAGGGGCAGCTACAGTAATCTTTCATTGGGGCAAAATCACATTCCGTTTCCACGATGGTACCTCTAGAGCCAATCGGAGTCGCCCACACTCGCTGACACAATGCACTGATAGGATTGGTTACCTGGTCTCTAGACTTCACGAATTTTTGCGAGAGGTCGTGAGGTAGATATAGGTCACTCAGAGGGTCACTCTCGTCCCTCAGCGAACTGTCTATTCCTATCTGCGAGAAGGGTTACCCAGGCGGGACTGGAGTAAGATTTCCCCCACACGCCCCGGGATATGCTTTCTTGCACTAGTGATGGCGCCGCCTTGGTATTCTGGCCGCTTGCCTTGAAGATCTAATCTTCTTTGCCCTTACCTCCTCAGTCAACAAATAACCTACTCCCCGTTTCTCGCCGCACTAAGCTCTAAGATCCATATTCCTGGGACACGTGATTGAAGGCACGATTGCCACTTATTCTCACATACCTCGTGCCTTGATATCCGGCCAAAGAGTAGAATACCTTTTCCAGCTCCCTACCAGGTCATTTTCTGTGCAAATTACGACTCCGCACGGGGCAAACGTGGTGTAGAAACAAGAATCCCCTCATGACCGCAACCACCTAAATGGTCGTACTTGGGCCCACATTCACATCCTGTTCGGCAACGCAACAGGCGTGTTTGCCCCTCAGGCTATCACCCCGCAACTCATCGCCTACTCTTAGTGTACACTGTACCACTGTACTGTACTACTCACGAAGGATGTGTGGGGCCCCACGTAGATGATTGAGTCGTACATTGCGCAGCCGATAGTATCGTAGTCTGATCCGATTCGCGACGCTACCGCACACGCTGTATGTTACGTCACCAGCTGTCTTCCTCTCAGACTGAGGGTTGCCATCGAGGTTGCCTTGGCGCGTCACCGCGGTCTTCTCGAGGAGCCCACTGGCCGTCATTGGCGGAAATAGGTACACTATTTCTACAGCGAGAACAACATCGAGCCGCAGTCAGTCGCTGCTTTATCCTTCTACGAGTATCACTTCCCTGCCATATCTATTCAAACGTCACTAACGAGTCAACAGCCCGACTATTGCTATCCCCGACTTCGAGATCTGGACCACGCACGCAGGATCACGCAAGCACGCTTGCGACCGGCGAGACGCCATTATAGTACCAGCATCAGCTTACCCACAGTGCGTTGTGGTGGTACCGTGGTACTACTACTGACCAGCGCGTCTTGTGGGCATGAGCGCCATCGCAGTGTCGCACGGAAACCGCTTCGCGCCTCGTCACTTCGACTCGGCTATGGTGGATTTCTCGTCAGAAATGCCTCCCCTAGTCGACGCCGTCGGGAAGGCTTCGCAAAACCGTCCAACTGGCGCTTCTTCGGTGATTGGCGGAACCGCGAGTGAGGCCGCAACGTCCCCGCCGTCCCCGCCGCGTTTCGCGGATCTTTACGGCTCCCCTCAAGTCTTCTCCGAGTCGCCGTCCATGTCGGACTTCCCCCTAGACTGGCCCGCGTCAAACCTTCCCCGCGGCCCCCGCAAGTCGGAATTCCCGCAAACCCCGCCCGCAATAGTATCATGCTCAGAATCGGCGCGGTTAAGTCGAGGCGGACTGCGCCGACACCGCCGCGTCGCGTCGTCACCGCAAACGGGACAGTCAGAGCTCGAAGGAAGTCTCGACGGCAACGCGGAGCGAGAAGGAACGCAGCGCATCGTAACGCGCAAGATCGACTCGATCGAAGTGCCGTCGGACGGTCGAAGTGCCGCCGTGCGGTCCCGCCACAACCGCCGTTCCTCCGTCGGCGGCGCCTGCAGCGGAAGCACCGAGACGGGCAGCAGCGGGGGAAACGGCGGGCATTGCAGCGACTTGTACGGCAGACAAGAGCTGGTACGCCTGGTCCCGGCGGGCCAAATCACAGCCGTCTCGGCGTTTTCGCCCAAGTCTCCCTCGATTGTGTCACTCTCGAGAAAGTCACTGCTGCCCAAGTCACCTTCGTCTCAGTCCTTGCCTCGGCCCGGCGGGGGATCGCCGCCGCGTCGAACTTCCTATTCGAGCGACGCCATCCCGCTACAACGAGGCGGCTGTAGCGCCGAGATGCCTCTACAGCTGCCGGACGGAGTATCGCGCGGGTCGTCGACCGCGGCGAACAGCCGCATCGACTCCCAGCGGAGCCCCTTCAGCGTGGCTGGATTCCGCTCGCCGCGCGATGATGACGCGACTGCGTGTGCGGCGGAGATCTCTCCCTCTCCGCGCGCTTTTCCAGCGGAGTTACCTCTCTCTCCTTCTCCGCGCGCTACCACTCCCCGCGAGGGGGCTGCACGCGCTCCTCCGCGATGCCCGGCGGTCGGTAGACTCGCGGCAGCTCGAGCGTGGAATAAGATGATGGCGGCGCCTCCGTTGACCACGGAGCAGTCACCGTCGCCGGCGGAGCTTCTATCGCCTTCTCCGCGCGGCGTTTCTACTGCTGCTACTACCAGCGGTAGAACTAAAGGCACTTTCCTTCCACTGTATCCTGAAATTGAGGCGCCTCGACGCTCGTCGGCGGAGCTGTCTCCACATGGCGCTACTACTACCACTCCGCCTCAGCGATCCCCGCTTTCTCGCTCCCGACATCCCCGCTCCCCGCTAGCACTCGCTTCCCCCCCATCCGCGCGCGCCTTCCCCGTGAGTGGGGGAAGCGCGGAAAGCCTTCCCCGCATCTGCCGGGAGGATGGCATCGGGAGCAGCAGCAGCAGGAGCAGCAGTAGCGTCAGCAGCGGCGGCAGCGGCAGCAACAGGAGCAGCAGCAGCGACAGCAGCATTGGCAGCAACATCAGTAGCGACAGTGGCAGCAGCGGCAGCGGCGGCGGCAGCAGCAGCAGGCGATTGAAACGCGAGCAGCTGTTGTCGTTGGAAGGAAACACCAGCGCGGAGATCATCTCAGCTGCGGAAGCCGCCACAACGGCGACGGCGGGAGCGGAGGCGGAGACGGAGATGATGGCAAAGGCTGCGGCGGCGGCGCCGGACATTCCACTGGACCTGCTGATGTCCGCGCGGCGGCTGATGGCGGAGTGCGAGGCGCGCGGAGTGCGCTGGGAGCTTCTGAACGCCTCGGGCGGCCTCAGCGGAAGCTCGGCGGAGCCGCATGTCGCAGCTTTGTCCCGGAACCCCGGATCGGAAGCTCCGCGGGCGGCTCTTCGCGCTCGCGCCACTCCCGCTCGCGCTACTCCCGCTCGCGCTATTCCCGTCTCCCGCCTGCGCCTCGGACGCGTGTCCTCCTGCTCCTCTCTCCCCGTCTCCGCCGACCTAACTTCCGCGCTCCCCTCTTCTCCGCTTTCTACTTCCCCGCTTTCCCCGTCCCCGCTTTCTCCCCTTTCCGCCGCCTCTGCGAGTGTCCTCTCCGCGGCCTCCGCGAAACCCGCTCCCGCGGAAAGCCCGTCGCGGAGAGACCGTTCAGGTGCGCAAGGTAACGAGCGTGCTCAAGATTCGCTTGCCGTTGCCGCGCAGCAGCAGCAGCAGAAGCAGCAGCAGTGGCAGCTTGTGGGGGCCTCTAAGCGAGATCGCGTAACGCAACTGCGCGTTTTGGGGAAGCATGGAAGCTTCGAGCAGCTCTCGGGGTTCTTTTCCAATGTGCTCTCCCTTTCCCGAGGCAGCAGCGGGGATGACTCCACCAACAGCGGATGCAGCAGCCCCTGCCCGAGCAATCCGGGCAGCTTGCTGGAAAAAATATCTGCGGAGGGAAAAAGTGCCAAGCCCACGGATTTCGTGCTCAGGATGCCCTACGAGGATATCAAGGCTCGATATTCGCTCGGGAAGAAGGAGATTGGGGAGGGCAGGTTCGGTTCCATCCGAACCTGCTTAGAGCGGAGCTCCGGCAACTTCTATGCTTGCAAGACGATTTCCAAGAAGATTATTGAGGTAATAAGAATTATTCTTGTGTACGCCATTTTCGTCACACTCACTCCCGCCACTGCCTTGCAGTCCTCTTCCCACCCCCCATCCCATCCCATCCCGTCCCATCCCATCCCATCCCATCCCATCCCATCCCATCCCATCCCATCCCATCCCATCCCATCCCATCCCATCCCATCCCATCCCATCCCGTCCCATCCCATCCCATCCCGTCCCATCCCATCCCATCCCATCCCATCCCATCCCATCCCATCCCATCCCATCCCATCCCATCCCATCCCATCCCATCCCATCCCCTCCCCTCTAGATTACTTGTTTCCTCTGACGCCTTGTTTGTGCTTCAGAACGCAGAATGCCTCCTTCCCTAATTGATCTCTAACTTCTTTCCTTCATCTCCACTTTTTTGTGCAGACCCACGAGGAAGCAGAGGACGTACGGCGTGAGGTGCTGTTTCTTGCAACACTGAAAGGCCACCCCTACATCGTCACACTCAAGGAGGCGCTAGAGGACAAAACGGCCATCCACCTCATCATGGAGCTCTGTCCGGGCGGCGACCTCTTCGAGCAAATCAAATCCCGCGCCCAACTCTCTGAACCCGAAGCGGCTTCCATCGTTCGGCAGCTTCTAGAAGCCCTGATCCACTCCCACTCCTTGGGAATACTCCACCGCGACGTGAAGCCCGAAAACATCATCCTTTGTAGCCCCACCAGCTGCTCCTCTATAAAGCTCATCGACTTCGGAGTGGCTACACTGCTGCCGGAGGGTGCACTCTGCAACGAGGCGGCTGGAACTCCGGAATACATGGCACCTGAAGTGTATGATGAGAAATACGGGTTTGGCGCCGATGTATGGGGTGCTGGAGTTTCGCTCTATGTGATGCTTTCGGGCATCCCGCCCTTTTGGGAGTCGACCAATCGGAGTTTGGAGCAGGCGATAAGGAGCAAGAAGGTTTCTTTCAAGCACTGGAAGTGGGTGGACGTGTCGGCTGAAGCGAAGGAGCTTATAACGAGGATGCTGGAGAAAGACCCGAGCAAGCGCATCACTGCCCAGGAGGCTCTAGGTGAGGGTTGGCTTCAGCCTCGGTTTTCCCATTTCCATTCTCATTATACCTCCTCTTTTTTTTCCCTGACTGCCTTGCATGACACCCCACTTTTGGAGAGATCCGGCATTGGGTTGATCTGGATGTGCATCTCACCATCGCCCGTTCCCATCTGCCATTCTTTGAGTCGACTCAAAAATCATCTGGATGTGCATCTCACCATCGCCCGTTCCCATCTGCCATTCTTTCCCTATCTCCCCCCTCCGCAGAGCATCCTTGGATCACCAAGCTTGCTCCAGCTGCAGCATGATTCGTCTGAAGCTCGCTACCTCTGAAGCTCGCTACCTTTGAAGCATGATTCCTGTGAAACTCACAAGCGCGGCATGAAGGGAGGGCACACATTACGAGTCATGACTGTTCGTCAGAAGCTACCATACTACAGCCATCATTCCTCCCGAGTGGTGTATATACAGTGGATGGAAACGCCAGGGTAGCTGTTCCCTCTCCCTGCCTAAAGCAGCCAACAAAAATTACCCACCATTCAGGGTCCCTTTTTTTATTCTGCCCGGTATGTTCTGCAACCTGGGCTGCATTACCATTCGGCTGCTGCTGGTGTTCTCCCTTCTGCTGCCGATGGTGTCTTTTTTCTTTCTTTCTTTCTTTTTGTGGGTGGCTGCCCACCTGGACCCATTGTAAGTTGATAGTAATTACTGGGATTGGCCAGCTCACGGCCGTAAGGCTTGTGTGTTTAGGAATAGTTTTTGGGGCCACTTGGGGATGGCTTTTCAGTGTAGCTTTTTGCCTCCCTCCAGTGGTGCTTATCTATATTCTCTATGTAACTTCCGCATGGCAATGTACCATATGTAGGAGGAAGTTGCGTCGTAATTGTTCCTTCTTGTAAAATGTTGACGTATGGTGTACCTTCGGTATGTGTACTTCTTGTCAGGCCTCTGCCTTTTGCCCATTAGAAACAAAGCAGAGATGGATGGTCAATATTACTCATTATTTTCCAGTGGTTGGCCGTACAGCATCAGGCTAGCTTTATTCTGAAGAGCTGTGAAAACCTGTCGCATCTCACGACAATATCCCATAGCAACATTCGTTTTAAAACATGGGAGTAAGCATACCGGTAGCACAGTGCCCCCTGCCAGACCGTAACAAAGGCACAAACACCCCATTCCCCACCACTCAAAACCACACCATTCACAACCACACTCCAAATCCAAATTCAGCAGGCACAGTCACCAAGCATGTACACACAGGAAAGAGTGGAGAGGAGAACATGAAGGGGCATGGGAACAGGTTAAGTATGCTTAGGTCTGATGCCGATCCGAGGGGCAACGCGGACAATAATGTAGCTTGGAAAGCTACGGTAAGATAAAACGAGAGAAGCGTCAAGGGGGGAACTGGAAGTACCATGAGCGAGCTCAGATTAATCGCATGTTGGAGTGGCAGTGCAAAAACAAGTGTAGATGAGAAGCGTGAGTGCGGAAGAGAGAAGTGAAATTGCACCTGTTGTACCAGGAAGAGAGTGACAGACCTGGTCCACAGCACTGATAGGAGGAGTCTCGTTATAGAGCAGACTCGTTATAGAGCAATCTCTACTGCACCGACTGTACTAGGGAAGGGAGTGACTGACCTGGTCAACAGCACTGATAGGAGCAGACTCGTTATAGAGCAACCTTTGCTGCACTGAGTGCAGCTCGGTCTGTATGCGCCACAGGAGGCTCATATCCAGCAGCATCACATCGAGGCGCATGGCTGTTTCATGCACGTCCATGGGGTCGATGTTGAGAGAGAAGGCGCTGCAAGGAGGATGGGTGGGGGGTTGAATGGCAGGGAGCGCAGCCAGGGGTACCATACTTCAATGGTAGGGAGCGCAGCCAGGGGTACCATACTTCAATGGTAGGGAGCGCAGCCAGGGGTACCATACTTCAATGGTAGGGAGCGCAGCCAGGGGTACCATACTTCAATGGTAGGGAGCGCAGCCAGGGGTACCATACTTCAATGGTAGGGAGCGCAGCCAGGGGTGCCATACTTGAATGGTAGGGAGCGTATGGTAGTAGGAGGGTATGGTACGTAGCATACTTGCAGGACACTGCCATACCATACCTGAAGCACAGCGCTATATCATATCCGAAGCACAGCACCATACCATACCTGAAGCACAGCACCATACCATACCTGAAGCACAACACCATACCATACCTGAAGCACAGCGCCATACCATACCTGAAGCACAACACCATACCATACCTGAAGCACATCGCCATATCATATCCGAAGCACAGCACCATACCATACCTGAAGCACAGCACCATACCATACCTGAAGCACAACACCATAACATACCTGAAGCACAACACCATACCATACCTGAAGCACAACACCATACCATACCTGAAGCACAGCGCCATATCATATCCGAAGCACAGCACCATATGATACCTGAAGCACAGCACCAGACCATACCTGAAGCACAGCACCATACCATACCTGAAGCACAGCGCCATACCATACCTGAAGCACAACACCATACCATACCTGAAGCACAGCACCATACCATACCTGAATGGTAGCGAGTGCAGCCAGGGGTGGCGGTAGTGGTGGAAGAAGGTGACTGGGATGCACCCATTGACCACGGCTTGGGCCATGCACACCATCTCGTGCCAGTGGGAGGTGTCGGGGAGGCACACACAAAACACTGCCCCCTGCATCGCTGCTGCTGCTGCATGTGGGGCTAGCTGGGATGGGTGCAGGGAGGAAAGGGGGGTGGAATGGCCACAAGAAGGTGACTGGGGTGGACCCGTTGACCACGGCTTGAGCCATGCACACCATCTCATGCCCAATGAGAGGCGTCTGCCAGGCACATGCAGAACAGTGCTCCCTGCATCGCTGCTGCTGCTGCATGTTGGGACAACTGGGAGGAGGGGATGGGGTGGGGTGGGTGCCAGGGGCATATGAGAAGGATTGCTAGCCAGCGGTTACAGGTAACCGATCACTCTCACCTGCAGCAGCGCCCACCCCTTGGGGCTGCTCGTCCCCACCATCCAAAACCGCCCCTCGCACCGCAAGGTTTGAGTCAACTCAAAACCAGTCTCAATATGAGTCAACTCAAAGCTAACTATCACGCTCACCTGTAGCAGGGCCCAACCCTTGAAGTTGCTTGCTCCCACCATCTCCATAAACGCCCCTCGCACCGCAAGTTTTGAGTCGACTCAAAGTTAACTAGCACTCTCACCTGCACCAGGGCTCCTCTCACCCGCAGCAGGGCTGCTTGTTAGCAGTTAAAGCTAACTGCTCACTCTCACCTACAACAAAGCCCACCCCTTGGGGTTGCTCGTCCCCACCATCTCCATAAACGCCCCTCGCACCGCCTCCCGGTCAAAACCGCCCCCTGCTGCGCCCATCCCCTCATCTGAAGCTGTCCCCTCATCCCTTCTCTGCACATCTTCCGTCCAGCCCTTGCCTTTTCCTGCTGCCGCTGCCTCCCCTGCCGCCCCTGTTTCCGCTGTTTTCCCTGCTCCCCCTGTTTCCCCTGCTCCCCCTGCTCGCCCTGCTGCCCCTCCTTCCGCTGCTGCTCCTGCTACCCCATCTGCTGCTGCCACATCATCGCCTTCCCCCTCTTTCCACAGGCCGTGCTGATCCCAATAACCACCACTGCCCTTGCCATGGCCATCGCCACTTGATCGTCGAGTCGATTTTCGGGTCAATTCCTGAGTCGACTCAACTATAGTCTCCCCCTCTTTCCAGAGACCATCACGATCCCAATCACCACCACCGCCATTGCCGCCGTCACCTGCTGGCCTAGTCAGGCTTTCACCTAATAGGCGCCTGGTTAGCCCCTCATTCCCTTTAAGGTCCGTGGGTGTGTGCTTGGCACGTGCACGAGAGGTGGGGTCCGCGTTGGGGATATCTTTGGCAGGAGGAGGAGATGTGGGAGGGGCGAGGAGGGGTGGAGAGCGGTGAGGAGGGCCGAGGAGCACAAGCACGGGAAGGGAGCGGTTGCGGGCGTCGGGGGGGATGGGCGGTGTGAGCGGGAGGAGAGGCGGCATGACCACGTCGTTGCCGGGTGAGGCACAGTGCATTCCCTGTGCTGGCGGGCAGGTGAAAGGAGGGATTCGGTGATGGGGAAATGAGGAGGTGGGGAAATGAGGAGGTGGGGAAATGAGGAGGTGGGGAAATGAGGAGGTGGGGAAATGAGGAGGTGGGGAAATGAGGAGGTGGGGAAATGAGAGGTGGGGAAATGAGAGGAGGTGGGGAAATGAGGAGGTGGGGATAAATGAGGAGGTGGGGAAATGAGGAGGTGGGGAAATGAGGAGTGGGGAAATGAGGAGGGTGGGAAATCGAGGAGGTGGGGAAATGAGGAGGTGGGGAAATGAGGAGGTGGGGAAATGAGGAGGTAGGGGAAATGAGGAGGTGGGGAAATGAGGAGGTGGGGAAATGAGGAGGGGGGGAAATGAGGAGGTGGGGAAATGAGGAGGTGGGGAAATGAGGAGGTGGGGAAATGAGGAGGTGGGGAAATGAGGAGGTGGGGAAATGAGGAGGTGGGGAAATGAGGAGGTGGGAAATGAGGAGGTGGGAAATGAGGAGGTGGGGAAATGAGGAGTGGGGAAATGAGGAGGTGGGGAAATGAGGAGGTGGGGAAATGAGGAGGTGGGGAAATGAGGAGGTGGGGAATGAGGAGGTGGGGAAATGAGGAGGTGGGGAAATGAGGAGGTGGGGAAATGAGGAGGTGGGGAAATTGAAGGAGGTGGGGAAATGAGAGGTGGGGAAATGAGAGGTGGGGAAATGAGAGGTGGGAAATGAGGAGGTGGGGAAATGAGGAGGTGGGGAAATGAGGAGGTGGGGAAATGAGGAGGTGGGGAAATGAGGAGGTGGGGAAATGAGGAGGTGGGGAAATGAGGAGGTGGGGAAATGAGGAGGTGGGGAAATGAGGAGGTGGGGAAATGAGGAGGTGGGGAAATGAGGAGGTGGGGAAATGAGGAGGTGGGGAAATGAGGAGGTGGGGAAATGAGGAGGTGGGGAAATGAGGAGGTGGGGAAATGAGGAGGTGGGGAAATGAGGAGGTGGGGAAATGAGGAGGTGGGGAAATGAGGAGGTGGGGAAATGAGGAGGTGGGGAAATGAGGAGGTGGGGAAATGAGGAGGTGGGGAAATGAGGAGGTGGGGAAATGAGGAGGTGGGGAAATGAGGAGGTGGGGAAATGAGGAGGTGGGGAAATGAGGAGGTGGGGAAATGAGGAGGTGGGGAAATGAGGAGGTGGGGAAATGAGGAGGTGGGGAAATGAGGAGGTGGGGAAATGAGGAGGTGGGGAAATGAGGAGGTGGGGAAAAGAGGAGGTGGGGGAAGATGAGGAGGTGGGGAATGAAGGAGGTGGGGAAATGAGGAGGGGGGGAAATGAGGAGGTGGGGAAATGAGGAGGTGGGGAAATGAGGAGGTGGGGAAATGAGGAGGGTGGGGAAATGCAGGAGGTGGGGAAATGAGGAGGTGGGGAAAATGAGGAGGTGGGGAAAATGAGGAGGGTGGGGAAATGAGGAGGTGGGGGAAATGAGGAGGTGGGGAAATGAGGATGTGGGGAAATGAGGAGGTGGGGAACATGAGGGAGGTGGGGGGAAATGAGGAGGTGGATGAGAGGTGTGGGAAATGAGAGGTGGGGAAATGAGGGTGGGGAAATGAGGAGGTGGGGGAAATGAAGGAGTTGGGGAATGAGAGGGTGGGGAAATGAGGAGGTGGGGAAATGAGGAGGTGGGGAAATGAGGAGGTGGGGGAAATGAGGAGGTGGGGAAAATGGAGGACGGTGGGGAAATGGGAGGTGGGGAATGAGGAGGTGTGGAAATGAGGAGGTGGGGAAAATGAGGAGGTGGGATGAGAGGGGGAAATGAGGAGGTGGGGAAATGAGGAGGTGGGAAATGAGGAGGTGGGGAAATGAGGGAGGTGGGGAAATGAGGAGGTGGGGAAATGAGGAGGTGGGGAAATGAGGAGGTGGGGAAATGAGGAGGTGGGGAAATGAGGAGGTGGGGAAATGAGGAGGTGGGGAAATGAGGAGGTGGGGAAATGAGGAGGTGGGGAAATGAGGAGGTGGGGAAATGAGGAGGTGGGGAAATGAGGAGGTGGGGAAATGAGGAGGTGGGGAAATGAGGAGGTGGGGAAATGAGGAGGTGGGGAAATGAGGAGGTGGGGAAATGAGGAGGTGGGGAAATGAGGAGGTGGGGAAATGAGGAGGTGGGGAAATGAGGAGGTGGGGAAATGAGGAGGTGGGGAAATGAGGAGGTGGGGAAATGAGGAGGTGGGGAAATGAGGAGGTGGGGAAATGAGGAGGTGGGGAAATGAGGAGGTGGGGAAATGAGGAGGTGGGGAAATGAGGAGGTGGGGAAATGAGGAGGTGGGGAAATGAGGAGGTGGGGAAATGAGGAGGTGGGGAAATGAGGAGGTGGGGAAATGAGGAGGTGGGGAAATGAGGAGGTGGGGAAATGAGGAGGTGGGGAAATGAGGAGGTGGGGAAATGAGGAGGTGGGGAAATGAGGAGGTGGGGAAATGAGGAGGTGGGGAAATGAGGAGGTGGGGAAATGAGGAGGTGGGGAAATGAGGAGGTGGGGAAATGAGGAGGTGGGGAAATGAGGAGGTGGGGAAATGAGGAGGTGGGGAAATGAGGAGGTGGGGAAATGAGGAGGTGGGGAAATGAGGAGGTGGGGAAATGAGGAGGTGGGGAAATGAGGAGGTGGGGAAATGAGGAGGTGGGGAAATGAGGAGGTGGGGAAATGAGGAGGTGGGGAAATGAGGAGGTGGGGAAATGAGGAGGTGGGGAAATGAGGAGGTGGGGAAATGAGGAGGTGGGGAAATGAGGAGGTGGGGAAATGAGGAGGTGGGGAAATGAGGAGGTGGGGAAATGAGGAGGTGGGGAAATGAGGAGGTGGGGAAATGAGGAGGTGGGGAAATGAGGAGGTGGGGAAATGAGGAGGTGGGGAAATGAGGAGGTGGGGAAATGAGGAGGTGGGGAAATGAGGAGGTGGGGAAATGAGGAGGTGGGGAAATGAGGAGGTGGGGAAATGAGGAGGTGGGGAAATGAGGAGGTGGGGAAATGAGGAGGTGGGGAAATGAGGAGGTGGGGAAATGAGGAGGTGGGGAAATGAGGAGGTGGGGAAATGAGGAGGTGGGGAAATGAGGAGGTGGGGAAATGAGGAGGTGGGGAAATGAGGAGGTGGGGAAATGAGGAGGTGGGGAAATGAGGAGGTGGGGAAATGAGGAGGTGGGGAAATGAGGAGGTGGGGAAATGAGGAGGTGGGGAAATGAGGAGGTGGGGAAATGAGGAGGTGGGGAAATGAGGAGGTGGGGAAATGAGGAGGTGGGGAAATGAGGAGGTGGGGAAATGAGGAGGTGGGGAAATGAGGAGGTGGGGAAATGAGGAGGTGGGGAAATGAGGAGGTGGGGAAATGAGGAGGTGGGGAAATGAGGAGGTGGGGAAATGAGGAGGTGGGGAAATGAGGAGGTGGGGAAATGAGGAGGTGGGGAAATGAGGAGGTGGGGAAATGAGGAGGTGGGGAAATGAGGAGGTGGGGAAATGAGGAGGTGGGGAAATGAGGAGGTGGGGAAATGAGGAGGTGGGGAAATGAGGAGGTGGGGAAATGAGGAGGTGGGGAAATGAGGAGGTGGGGAAATGAGGAGGTGGGGAAATGAGGAGGTGGGGAAATGAGGAGGTGGGGAAATGAGGAGGTGGGGAAATGAGGAGGTGGGGAAATGAGGAG